ATTCTTGTTTATGCACCAAAATCCAACACAGACATAGCTTCCTCTGTGAGGCCTTTTCAGCTCTTTTTTCTCCTTGTGGAGTTAATGAGTTTTCTCTAACCTCACATAATCTTGATTCTTCGATTAAGTTCCCATTGCTGGCCCTGCTCAACTCTGGGCTCCCTGAAGACTGGAAGAGTTTCTTCTCTGCTTTTGAATTGAAGTAAACACAAGTTTGTCTCAGCCCCGATACTGTACATTATACTACAGTTTTCCCCCAAATTAGCCCTTCTCCACAAAGAAGGAAAAAGGCAATTATTTTTCTTCTGTTGTTAGTTCCTATTAGCTCACTCAAGATAAATAAGAATTAATAGACCCTCATTTGTCTTGTGGATTTAATAATTCAAAATTATATTTGTCTTGGCCCAGACTGTTAACCTGCTCACAGTATGTACAGTTTACCAAGGAGAACTTAGGACCCAGCATCTCTGTCACTAAAGTCAACCCACGAGCAAGAACCCACCCGTGCTTGTGCACAAATTCTAGCCAACAGAGCTGGGGAAGGAAAACAGAACAAAAGTTAGAACTTCGAAGGTCCCTAAAGTCCCAGCCAGCTCAAAACACAGCTCAACAAAGAGCTCCAGGCTCTCTAGGACATAGCTGCTCCCAGAAAAGATGACAGCAAGGCGAAATTGTACTCAAATCCTCATTCCTTTCAAAGAAACCTGCTACAGGGCTTTGGGAGCCCATGCCGGGCTGGAGGCTGCAGACATTGCTGTTCTCCTGGTACCTCAAGCTCACAGTGCTCCCCATGCCATGATTTTCCAGGCAGAGATGAACCTCCTTTCTCCTGCTGCGTAATGCTCTCCACAGATTGACTGCTGTCCACCCTGTCCGGGGCTGAGAGAAGAGGCCACTCAACAGAGAAGCCATCGCTCGGGACTGTCACAGATGGCAGATTGAGACCTGGAGGGTGTAAGTCAATCCCAAGGCAAGCAGAGAGCAGATGAAGAGAGAAGTCCTTCTTCTTCTCTAGAGCCCGGTACGGACAGATGTGAGGTGCACAGCTGTCTCAGTGTCCTTTGAGGAGACAGTGCTGAGGCTTAGGGAGGAGGTCCCATTGGTGGCACCTGGGCTGGCCTGGAAACCAAGCAGTATCAGAGGGGAGTGGTAAGGCCACCAAGGATTGGCACCTTGTGTCCACGTGCAAGGCTTGTGACTGCTTAGGCAGGTCATCACCTCACATCTTCATAGCAGCCCCTCGAGCCAAGTGTTACACTTCCTGGGTCACAGACGGGACAGTGGACACCCAGACAAGCTAAGTCATCACCTATGACTGTGCCCACAGAGTTGAACTGTTACCCCTGGCACAAATGTCCAGTTGTCTCCTGCAAGAGCCATGATTTTCCCTCTCCAAATAGCAAGGCCACTCTCCAGTCTGACTCGGAGGCTCCAGCACTTGGAGGTAAGAGTGAGTCCTCCGCCTGAGGCCCACATGCAGAACCCAGAGCCCCCTCCCTGTCCTCAGGGGCTGCTGAGGCTTCTCTGTGGCCTCATCAGGGGCCCACATCACCCACCTTCAAGCAGAAAGAAGAAGACAGGTGACAGCAGGGTCAGGCAAGGCTGCACCTGCAGGACCAGGGACAGCCCTGCTGGGACTGGACCACTCCTGATGCTGTCCCCGAATGCTTGAAAGCAGTCAGCCCATGGAAGGGAAAGACACCCCCATTTTCCCACTGGGCCCCACGAAATGGGCTGCATAGGAAACATGCCATCTCTGGGCCTCGGGTCTAATCATACAGAGCAGCCCCCAGCCACGGCCCAGAGGAAATCCAGGGTGTGCATGAAAGGCCGTGCAAGAGTCCCCTGCCCTGTGTGCATCTTCAGAAAGAAGCCCAAAAGCCCCTTTCTCGGTTGTCTTCACCCCACCCTTGAACAGGCACGAGAAGGAGGCTGAGGAGGTGCTACACAGACACAGGCTGACTTTGGAAAAAAGAAACAGCTAATGCAGGCCGCGCTGCCCCTGGACCAGGGACAGCCCTGCGGGCAAAGGCTGCAGGTGTTAGGACATCTGGGTTCTGGGACACAGGCTCTCGGCCATCTTCCTGCTCTGGCTTAAGGGTCTGGGGTCAGGGCTGGTGGCCATGGCACACAGAGCATCAGGGGCTACAGTGCCTTCTCACAGCCATGGACATGTTTGCTCTCTCATTCCCCCTCCTCACAAGGGACCAAAGAGGACCCTGGCTGTGACCCTTCTAAACTGGAACAGCACAGCACCAGACAGCACAGCCTGTCCCTGGGGAGCCCCTGGCCTGTGTGCCCTGCTTCCTGCCCCACCCAGCGCCCTCCCTCGGGGCTTGCGAACGTCAGGACTGTGCAGGCCAGGCCCCGGTGGCAGAGGGGAGGCAGCAGAGGCAGGGACAGAGTTATAAATAGGTGCATCTGATGGAGAAGGTCACTAACCAGAGTGACCAGAAGGTCACTAACCAAACATGCCAGAAATTCTAAAAGAGAGACAGATGAAACCCTCTGCTCCGCAGCATCTCCCCACCTCTCTCCTGTGGGGCAGAGAATGGGAGTGGGGCCCAGGCCAGGGACACCAGCCAGCAGCTGAAGAGCCCATTGGGCTGATGGGGCAACTTGCCCTTCCTAAGGAGGCTGGCTGGCCCCAGCGCCCTGCAGAGCTGCAGAGCAGGACCTGGCTGGGCCTGGGGAGGCCCCGATGGCCCTCTCTTCTCTCCCTCTGCTCCCCAGCATGGCCAAGGTAGAGTCTAGAAGGTCTCAGCAGGGGGTAATTGCAGCTCCCTTCTCCACAGGATGTCTGACGATGTCCAGAGACCTCTCTGGCTGTCTCTATACCAGTAGTAGGTGCTCTGGGCTCTGCAGGGGTGAAGCCAGGGATACAGCTGAACACCCTGCAGTGCACAGGACAGCCTGGAACCCTGCATCCCCACCGTGAGCCCTGAGGAGGCCGGGATCCCTCTCCAGGCCTGCACCTCCAGACACTGCCTCCTCCACTCGGCCCTGCCGAGGCAGCCCAAGTACACAAGCACTCATAGCTACGCAAATAGCAACTCCTTATTTGCTGTGTTTGCTCTGCTAATATTGACTCTGCAGCCTAACACTGGTGCTATTGAGCCAGGGTTCTTCTCAGTGCTGTTTGAGCAGCATTAGAACAGGCTGTGATAACCAGCAGAGCAGGAGGCTGGCCTCCTCCTCCTCCTCCCCCTCCTCAGCGGCAAAACCCCTGTACCCCTCCGTGAGACACGCCTGTGAAGATGGGGGTGCTGTGTGTTCCTGCACTCGGCAGACCTGAATCTGCTCTTCCACTGAGCAAACAGCTGAGGTAACATAGGGAGCGCTCACCACCTAAGTCAGCACTCCAGAGACAGAGAAAGGTTACTAGGGAGGCTACCCTTTGAGGTGCAGCTGGTGGAAAATGATGAAGAGGGCACCCCAGGCCATCCGCTGAGCCCTGCAGCTGGGGTGCGCAGAGACGGGCATGATGGTGCGTGCCCGTAATCCCAGCACTCTGGGAGGCCGAGGCAGGGAGATCAAAAGTTCAAGCCGAACTAGGCAACGTGGCGTTGTGACTTACAACCCTCTCACTATTCAGGCAGAGAGCTTAGACGTCCAGAAACTAAGCATTGCAGGAGGTGGACTCAAGGATCCCAGGGGACTCCAAGGAGAGTCGTGAGCACAGCCATCTGCTAAGGCAGTGCCCAGCCTGCCCTACCGCACCCAGCCGCTCTGCAGTGAGACAAGCCCAGGCACTCAGAGAGAAACATCTATGTAGAGGAACCAGGGCTGCTCCTGCTGCCTGCAAGGAAAGTGCGTGCAGACTTAGCCCTACGTTTGGACCTGCGCCCGTGGCTTTTCTCTAGGTCAGTATTAAACAAGTTGCCGGAATCATCCAAGGGGCATTCTAAAAATTAACTCTGGCCAGCCTCATGGCCTGGGAGCACCAAAATGGTCATTTGCTAAAATTGGCCATTAACATTTTCTACTAACTGTGCTCTCCATAGACTTGGAAAATGAAGGAGAAACTCCTCGGAAATCAGCTATTATGTGGGCGCTGTGGCAACCTGCACTCTAAGCCTCCAAGTGCTTTGTTTTTAAAAATACATGGTAGGCATCTCCTACGTGTGGGCAAGTTCTGCCCAGCAACCCAGTCATCGGATGTGGCCACTGGGGTTCAGCCTGGTTGGTGCCTGCTCCTCTGAAGAACGCCCCTCACCATGGCCAGAGGGGGAGGCTAACTGAGGAGAGCCAGCCTATTGGCTGGCTGCTGGCCAATCAGAGCCTTTCAGTGTAGACTCACAGTTGGGTCCATAACCTGGAAGGTCAAGTCTAGGTTAAAGTGGGTGGTTTTGGACCTAGAAAAAGTGTAACAGAGCAATGCACCCTGCAGAGGAAAGAGTGGCTAAAATACCCTGAGGAGGGGCTGGGAGCTCAGGCAGGCAGTCATGGGTCACTGACACCCTTCCAGGAGTCCCACCTTGAACCTCTCTAGGGGACTGGGCCTCCTCGCTGCCTGGGGCTTGCGTTATTACACCTAACCTTCTAACAGCTCCATCACCCATAAGAAGCTAAGTAGTAAGCGTGAAGTATACAATTCTGTTTCTTGCAACCAATAATCACTGACCAGGAGGCCTAGGAAGGCATCGCCCATTTTCCAGTCTGTACTTGTTCAATCCCCAATGCCCCTTGCTCACCCTGGCTGCTTCCTTCACTGGTACTCCAGTCTTCCATCTCCAGGGCAGCCTGTCTGTGTCTCGGGTCACAGAGGCCACCCGCATGCCCCAGTGACCAGCAGAGGGGTAACTGTGTAACCAAGACACCACGGACCACTCAACACTGTTTACTCCAGTGGAGCTTGTTTGCTTATCAGTCAATAATTAGTCATTTGACAAACATCCATCAAGCTGCAGTGCAAACCCAACACAGATATGTTTAAAATAAAAAAAATAATAAATTAAAATACACAACTCTGGAAAGGCAAAGAGCAAATAAGAGCTTACTTTCCTGTTTTCCTTCCACAATGAGGAGCACTGTCATGGCGACAAGTCATCAGCTATGTCAAAACCAGACCTCAAGGAGAGCTGGCAACAGGGCCCGCCTACTGCTCCGCTCCTAAGAAACAGCTTTGTCCCTGTGAGCTCTGCTGTTGTCCTGCCTCTCAATTTCAGTGCTAGGATTAGAGGGAGGAGATTATAGCTACCGCATGACAAGAGGCTCCCAAAGGCTTTTACCGATCACTCAGCTCTTAGGCAATCAAAGGTCCAGGGGTGGACCCTAAATTTGCACACTCCCTTCCCTGGTCAGGTCTGTCACCTAGACTTGACCCGGGTATCCAGATCCAGTTGAAATTCACTGTCTGGGTCTCCCTGACATTTTCTCATATGGAAGCAACCTCCCCAGGCTCCAATCCCAGCCCTGCCCTCCAGCCCTACCCAAACCTCTGCCCAGGAAAGGGCACCTGCAGTGCCTGATTGTCCCTGTCTACCTCTCCGGCTCTGCTCTCATGCAGAGCTGCAGAGTGGTGGTTCACAGATGCCCACAGAACCCAGTGACAAGCCAGCAGGCCTTGTAGGGGCTCAGACACCCTGGGTGACCCAATGCCACCTCTGCCTGTTGCTCTGGCCATGCCCCTCATGTCTCACTCACACTTCCAGCCACCTCCACTCCCATCCCGGGGACCAATGCGCCCCGAAGTGCTGTGGCCCCAGCCAGGCTGAAGCTCTCTTTCCCATCCATGAACACAGAGCCCAACACAGAGCAGATGCTCCAAAAGATCTGGAGGAGCAATGAATGCAGAGGCCGATGCTCAGCAGGTGCACAGGGCACCATCAGGGTTCAGGGCTCCGCCTTCTGCACCAGTCCCCTTCATCCATGGCTCCCATGACCCTCGCCAATACCAGGCGGGCTTCAGCCTCCTGCGTGCAGGCCAGCACCCTGTGACCTGAGCACACCGGGGCCCTGCCACAGGGCTTGCTCGGGCTGCCCCCCTCCTGTCCCAGCTCCAGCCTTGTTCCCATCTCAGGGACACCCTTTGCCTCCTTCGCTTAGGATAGGGAAAGAGTCGGCTGCATCCCAGCCACCCCTGGTCACAGCAAACCCCTGTCCTCTAGATGCCATTGTGCTGTGAGGCACAGAAATGGAAATAAAAACAGCCAACCCCTCACTAGCCAAGGATTCTGCATGCACAAATACAACCAGCCACAGATGGAAATATTTGAAAATAGAATTGCACCTGTAGTAACAACTGTATTTTCCCTGTCATTATTCCCTAAGCAGCACACAGTGACAACCACCTGGCATTTGCACAGTGGTCGAGCTGATTAAAAGCATCCTAGAGGGTATGTGTAGGTGGTGTGAAAATGCTCACAACTTAATGTGAGGGTCTTGGGTGTTCACAGATTCTGGGGCCTTCTGTGGACCCTTGAACTAAATCCCGCAGATCTGAGAGCCAGTGGTGCAATGCTGTGAGCCATGGAGCAGAGGGCCGGGGCCCCTAGCACAGAGCGTAAGTGGCATCTCCTGTCATTCACAGGGGTGATTTACTCGCATGGGGGCTCAGACTTCTCAATGGCCTGCAGCAGCTCTGGGGCAGCGTTAGAGTGATCACCCTCATTCTCCTGCCTCAACCTACAGAGGTGACTCTGCTTCTCAGGAGGCAGGCCCTGGGAACCCAGGGATACAGACACCTCCTCCATCTGGGAGAGAAGGAAAGGCACCATCAGGCACAAGACTGCTAGGAACTGGGGAAGAAACGCTGCTGTGCCTTGAAGTCAGAGGAGGAGGGCTCGGCCGCTCTGCTGTCCCACTTCCACATGGCGAAGGCCAGTTCTTGTGAACTGCGTGCACGGGCCCAGGGCACATCATGTCCCTGTGTCCTGGTGGATGTCACAGGTTTCATTCCCTAAGCGTCGGCAGAACTGCGAACCCTCGGTTTGGACCTGCTCGGCTTCCCCTGGGGGAACTAAGGGTAGAGAAAAGTAGCGTGACTGGGGCTCCCTTCCCCTCTCAGGTCCCCTCACCCCACACTGACTCCTCTTTAGCTCCTTTGATCAAATAACCCTACTTCTGAGACTCAAGCAAAGGGCAAAATCGCACACACAGAGAAAGCTGTAGGCACCAAGCGGCTCCACAGAGCAGCATTCGAACTCAAAGCCCAGCTGGGGGCAGAGCAGGCCAGCTGTGCGTCTGTGTGGAGAAATGGTAGTTCAGTCCAGCCTTTAATAAAAGGGGAGCTCGAGCTAAGATCTGGGCTGGGGCAGGCTGCAAATGCTCACAGGAGCCTCGCTGTCCAGAAAAAAAAGCGCCAGTGCGGAACCAAGACTCAAAGGAGAATGCTGGTTTCTTTTTCAGTGTCTTTGCTCCTCACCAATTTTAAGTTCTATTATAAAATGATACTATTGAGGCATCGAGTTGCTGGGAGACAAAGGTCCTTGTTCCAGAAGCTACAGGTGCTTCTCACAGCTGTGACAGAGCCACTGCTGGGTTCACCCTCCTCACAGGGCCCTGCTGACACCGAGGCCTCATGGGGATGAATTCATTCATTCAGAAATAGTCACTCAGTGCTTCTGGCAGTGATGAGCGCAGGGTGCCCTTGGTTGCTAAGGGTGCAGGGTGAGGAGGCACAAAAGCACCCAGGCCAGTGAGGGAGGCTGAGACCACCAGCTATGCTAAGAGCAGCAGAGAATTTTGGTTGGGATTTAATTTGACCAACAGCTACAGGAATCCAGCTATGATAGGGAAAACAAATGAAAGTTTTTTTTATCTCTTTCAGATGTCAAATCTAAAAGTGAGCAGCCCGGGGGCTGGAAGGATGGTTTCCACAAAGTCTACAGGGCCTTGACTTTTGCTATACCTCTGCTCAAGATACCTACTATGGGCCTATGTAGGCCCATAATAGATGCTGGAGCTCCAACCATCACATCTGTATTCCAGGCAGATAAAGAGGAAAGATGCAAAAACAAAAAAATAAAGAACAAATGTCTCAATTTCATGGAAAGGTTACCAGCAACTTCCTAGTTACCAGGAATGCTATGTATGGTTTTTTAACTGTAGGATCCAGTAAAAAAGGGGCTGGAGACAAATTCCAAGTACAGGACACCTCCAGCAGGGCCCTGGAGGGGCTCTGAAGCAGAGCTGGAGTCCTGGCCCCAGTCTGCTACCACAGATAGGCATGTCCCTGAAGCCTCTGGGCCATAAATCAAGCGCCTGCACTCAGATACTATGAAATATTGACGAGGCCTCAGGCAGTGAGGCTGGGGCACAGGGCGGCCACAGCTGCTCCTCCAGGGCCACGGGAAGAGGGACAGAGGGAACCCACACCATCCATGAGCCCCAGGGAACCAAGCTGGCACAGAAACCAAGCCTGGCTGGAGGGGTCAGCATTCGCATCTCTATGTGGTCAGTCAGGCACAGTGACCAGGACACACCTGGATCTCTCGGTGACCCTGGAACTGCAGGCCATCAGATTTCTCTGCAGGAGCAGAGGGCATGGCCACAGACGTCACTGAGGGAGCAGAGGGCATGGCCACTGAGGCCACTACCTGGACGTGATTGGTCTCTCTCTGTCTCTCTGATTTTATTTCTCTGTCTCTGTCTCTGTCTTTGTGTCTGTCTGTCTCTCTCTCTGCCTCTCTCTCTGTCTCTCTGTCTCTGTCTCTCTCTGCCTCTCTCTCTGTCTCTCTGTCTCTGTCTCTCTCTGCCTCTCTCTGTCTCTCTCTCTCTCTGTCTCTCTCTCTCTCTGTCTCTCTCTCTCTCTGCCTCTCTCTGTCTCTCTCTCTCTCTCTCTCTCTTTCTCTCTCTCTCTCTCTCTCTGTCTCTGTCTCTCTCTGATGTTTCTTTGGATTCCTAGGACTGCACCCAGGACCTTCATGCTGAGCCATACCCTGAGTTCTTTTTATTTGTTTACTTACAGACAGAGTGTTGTAGAATCATCCAGGCTGGGCTCCAACTTACAATCCTCCTGCCTCAGCCTCCCAGGGGGCCGGAACACGAGGTCACTGGGTCAGCTGTGGACGTGACCTCGGTGCAGTCACACGGGGCTGGGGTGGGCAGGGGAGGGGCCTTGCCTCCTGAGCCTGCTACGTGTCGTGTCCGCCCCACACAGCTGCACGGCTTCGCCTGTCCTCTCGCCCCATGGGGTGGGGACTGCCTGTCCCCACGTCACCCACGGGGAAGCTGGGGCTCAGAAGACTACGTGACCTGTCCACAATGACTCAGAATGTCCATCTACATGCCAGAGAGTCCCAGGAGTGCCCCGGCCTGGTGCACGCCCCTCTGTGCCCTGTGTCCCCACCAGGCACGTGGCTTGGGGCAGAGTGCTGGGGACACCAGAGGAGCCCTGTCACAAGGCTGCTGCTCTGGTGCAACACAGCTCCCTGTGCTGAGACAGTTACAACCCATAATTAGTTGCCATTGCAGTGGAACAAGGGCCACTGGGGTTTTAAAATCACAGTGACGGTTTTATTTAGCTGAAGCGGCCAAAGCCCAGGTTCACCCAGTCCTGCATCAAAGAAAACGTCTGGATTTGGCCTCTAAACCTCCTACTGGCTGGGCTCCTCCTGGGCTGCACCGCACTCCGCTGACCCTGCCCGTGCTGGGCCTCCCCACACCCACCTGCTAGCCTCCTCCCTGGCTTCCCCTGCCAGCTCACAAGCTGCCAAATCCGGTCCATTCAGTAAGCCCATTGGTGATGCCGCCTCCTCCGGGAAGCCTCCCTGCTTGCTGCAGTTCCTGCCTCCACCTGTCTCCTTCTGCTTCCCTGTGTGACCAGCTGGCTGGCCTCCCAGGTTATCCCAGGAAGAGACACAACAGGGTCCTACATGCCAGGGAACTAGGACAGGTGCCAGCAGGGCGAGGGAGCCAGTCCAGAGGTCCTGCCTTCCCTGGTGACAGCACTGGTGACAGGGTCGCCAAGGAGCTGACGCCCTTGCTGCTGACCACTGGGGGTGGGCGAGGCCAGCGTGTGGCCAACAGCAAAGCAGCAATGCTGAACCAGAACAAAGCTGGCCTGTCAAAGGCCACTGTGTCCATGCAAAGCCAGGGCTTCAGGGGCACTGAGGGCAAGGATGAGGAGCCCCCAAGTTGCTGGGGGCCAGTTTTGCCACCTGCTGCCCCGTCTCTGACCTGGGAAGAGCTTCCTGCTTCCCCAGCCCCCTACGCCCGCCAGTACAGACACCCCCAGAACTATTCCTGCAGGTGTCTCATTCCACAGCTGTTGGCAGCCAACCCCGTGAAAAGGTGAGAAAAAAAGAAGTCATATTCTCAAGGCTCGAATACAAAACTAGGTGAAGCCTACTAAGGGGAAATGCAGTAATAAACAAGTATCACATATTCCAAAGCGGGAATGAAAACATGCGGGATTAGTCTGCCATTGGAAATTACCTGTGATGGCCAAAGGTAGAGGGAGGTGGAGGTTAGTGATGCACTCAGGAAAAATGAGTGTTAAGATAACAGATTGCCCCCCGTAACTCAAGATCGTAACCTATGGGTGCTGAGTGGTTACAAATTTTATAATTCTATGTGCAGACAATGAGACAGTTCTCAACAAAGCTGCAGAATCTAAAATTTAACAGGCAAATAAATTTTTAAAAGTTAGGTCTTGGAAAAAAGAAAAAGTAAAAATAAACAGTTACATCTTGATATTGTCTGAAGAAGCACCTCTCAAAAATCTGTGCATTAAGTTTTGCCCCCCATCTATGGCACAGTTGCAAGATAACAAACCCTTTAAACAGTGAGGCCTCATAGGAGGAAATACATCACTGAGTGTGAGCTGGAAGGGATTTGTGGGACTCTGGTCTCTTCCTCTCTCTCTCTCTCTGCTTCTGGGTCACCATGTGCTCTCCTCCTCTATGATATTCTTCCTTGCCACAGACCTAGCTCAACAAGACCTGCCTGCCATGAACTAAAACCCTTGAAACTTATAAGCTGATTTTGGGTATTGTCCTGATTCACAGTAACAGAAAGCTAACTATTACATCTCTGCCAGAAATGCTTACTATCTCAGTGTCCAGTGTGACTTCAGTTAAAAGACAAGCAAGAATATGGGTATGAGTCCCAGATCACAAACCCAGCTGTGTAAGGAGTATCACTTCCACTCTTCTGGTTACCCCAGGGCTAGGTCTGGAGGGCCAGGCCTCCACTCCACAAAAGACCAGCTGTCAGAGCCTTCAAAGGCAGATGTGGGGCCAACTCTAATGAGTAACAGAGAAGACCAAAGCTGCACATGGAGAAGTGCAGTTGGGACGCACTGCAGAGGGATTCCAGGGGAGATCAGGTTAAAGCAGGAGAGTGCAGGAGTCAGGCTCAGGTTGCAAATCTAATACTTGTACAATGTTCTGCTGCCGCCGAAATTTCTCTGCAAAGCCATGGGAATAGAAATTTTAAAAATCAGTCTACGGCAAATTAGTTACCCACTTAACAAACTGGTTTTTACAAGTTTATCCAGGGTGCAAAGTCTCCCAGAAGGTGACCCCACAGCCATGGAGCACACAGAGCCTGGGAGGTGGCAGTACTCCTGAGGTGCCACTGCTGCCCAAGAGCCCAGCCAGAGCCAGTGTAAGCAGCAGCCAGGAGCCTGGAGGCATCCAAGGACAGCCACAGCTCAGGATCATGGGAGGCAGCTCTCAGATCTCATGGGGCAGCTCCAGCTGCTCACAGGCCCCGACCTGGGGGCTGCAGCAGCATCTGCACATTTGAGAATCTGTGCAGAGACTTCAGCTCAGCAGCAAGAGCCAGCTCGCCACAGATCATGCAAGCAGAGAGCGGGAGGCTGAGTGGGGCCTGCTTCCCAAGATGCTCACTCATCTCCACAATGCACTGGGCAGTGGTCCCCACTGACTTCGCTTCCCATGGGCTCTTTAGGTGGCAGAGGGCTGCCTCCTCACACGGTGCCCACAGCCCGGGATATGGGGCAATAGACCCAGCACAGATGTAGCAAAGAAGGCTCAGAGAGTCATTGAGCAGATTCTGAAGGTGACCCCTGCTCAAAGGCTGCCCTGTGTCCTTCCAGATTAAAAAAAACAGGGCCTCTCTTTGGACCCATGCATTTGCTTTCATAAAACTTCCATTACTGGATTTGCACTAACACATTCTTCTCCACACCTTGCTGTTTTTGTTGATGTTAACAATTTATTCATTTTAAAATGAAAATGATTCATTTTCACAATTACTTCAAAGTACCACAATATATTTAGTAAAGGCTGCTGGCAGTAATGATTCTTATTAATATATATTATGTGTTGCTCCTATGATGTAACTTTTCCCACTGAGAAATATTTCAGTTGTTCTGTAACATTCCCAAAGAATGTGTCCCTGGAACTGTGTGAATGGCTCCATTTGCTAATAATGATACAATAAAATATAACAGATTGTTTTAAGTTACTTCAAGTTTCTCTTTCCTGGTTCACACTTACCCTGTCTTAGACTCCATTATTTCTTCCTCCGGACTGTCAGTCCCAGCCCTGGAAAGGTGGCTCTTCTGGTTGTCGTCTCTTAAGTTTGAGCATCCAGTAATGGTAGATCCCACCCGAGACGAATGCTGGGCACGGGCAGGACCCTCCCTTGGCTGGGTCTCACCCCTTCTATGAATTGAGGACCCAGCATTCATGTTCAGCCCCGGCCAGTTTACAAATGGCAGCAGGTAATGGGCCTTGAAGTCATTGATGAGTAGATAAAACTTCAAAGATTCATCTGTGCAACCAAATGGTCCCTGTACTCCTTAATCTCCTGCTCAAGTCTGAACATCTGTACAGATACGGGCTGATAAATGGGGTGCACCTGGGCAGGCGCTGCATCTGAGCCAGGCCTGCCTCGGCCCCCACCCCTGTGCTGCAGAGGGCTGGAGGAACCGCCAACGCAGTCATCTGCCTTCAAGGGACATGGGCCAGCCAAGCATAATCCACCAGCTTTTCCAGACAGGCCGCGTGCTCTGCAAGGCTTCCCTCTGCTCTGATGCCGTGTGATTACGAGATCCCGAGTCCCTTTGGTGACAATCCCCATGACATGTTACGAAAGGAGGTATGACAAGAAGGCGGCAAATCCTCACCAGCAGACCACTTGGCAGACTTCCAGGCCCCAGGGAGGAAAAGCCAGGAGCGCACTGCCATGGCTGTCCCTCTGAGTTGTCAGCTACAGGAAGCGCCACAGGGGCCTTCAAAACCAGAAAAGAGCAGGGAAAGTGCGAGAAGGTGCCTGGCATGAGGTGGCAGCATGGACCCCACAGACCCTCGCTGGCTCAGAGCCAGTGGCCCAGAAGACAACTGAGGTCCTTGTGCCCCTCATTAAGCCAGGCTGGGGACAGCTCAGAGGACACAGGCCGGAAGAAAGCAGCCCAAGGCCTCCCAGGAGCCTCGGTCCAGCAGGAACTGAATCCAGAATCCAGACACCGTCAGGACAGAAAGAAGGGCCATGTCAGGGCGAGCAGAGGCATTGGGTGAGTGAGAGGTCAATTACTTGTCAAATCCCCTGGAATGGCACATGCAATGACAGCAGGTCCAGACTGCCAGCCAGCCCCTGTCCGCTTCTCCAGCCTGGCTCAGAAAAGACAGGTTCCATAGGGCCTCCACATTCTAACAGTTAGAAATGCATGGACTTTTCCTGGGTGCTTTGTGTCTGTTTGTTTTTCTTCTCTCTCTGTTCTGAGGACTGAGCCCAGGCCTTTCACATTGAGCTACACCCCCAGCCCTTTTTCATCTTTTATTTTGAGGAAGGTCTGGCTAAGTTGGCCAGGCCTGCAAGCTTCCTCCCTTGGCCTCCCAGCAGTGCACGCCTGGCTTGTGCTATTTTCCTTTATTGCTTATTATGTTCCCATTTTGCAAAGGGCTAGAGTGCCTGTCTCTGGAAACACTGAGGAGAGAGGTAACAGGCTGGAGGGCTGGCTCCCACTTCCCGGCCAGGCTCCAGGACAAAGGTGCCCACCACAGGCACCGTGACAGGTGGAGCTGATGGGGAAAGTTTGAAGGCTGAGTTCCCAAGGCCAGCAGAGAGGGGCAAAAGCCATGACAGATGCCAGCATGAAAGCAGGGTTTAAAGGCACCCTTGAGCTTCCGCATCTCCTCTGCACCAGGGCTGCCCAGCCTCGCTCCCAGTATGTAGCACCCAAGGGTGACAGGTGAGAGCCAATGCACCTGCTAGATGTGGGTGTCTGGGCGGGGGGCCCAAGGAGGTCCACGGAGAAAGAAGGAGAGGAGGAGGAACAGGAGAGGGAGGAGGAAGAGGAACACGAAAGCTTCACACAGCTCCCACTGTGTCTTCACCGGGCATGGACAGAAGGGGAAGTTGAGTCTCATGGCAGTGAGGACTGTGTCCAAGTTTACCCACCAGGAAGAGCTCAGCTCTTTCATAGTCAGGGCCACTGAGCTGTCCCTGATGATAGTTTGCTGTCCCTAGCCTGTGATTTCCTCACACATGGGTCCCAGGATAAGGACCTCTGCCCACGCCAGTAACACCTGCAGATGCAGGTGGAGTGGCCCCCGGGATGCAGAGGACAAAGCTGAAAGCAGCTGTCCTCTTCCACACCAGTCCCCAGGAGCACAGAGTCTGATGCTGCAAGGCAAGGTCAGGCTGCAGCCGCCCTCCCGCCAGGGGCCCTGTGCCCACTCACCCAGCCGCTCTGCCTTCTCTGTCTCCTGCAGACAGTGTGGGAAGGGATACAATAGTCAACTGCAGGCTTTTGTAACACAGTCTGTCCCCTTTGCTCTGCCCCGAGCACTTAGCATTGTGAAATCCTGGCATCTGGAGGGTGCCTTGCCTTTTTTTTTTTTTTTTTGGTAGAATTAATGCATGTAGGAAATGCATGCGTTTCACCCCTTCCATCTCTGGGACAGCCCTGTGAAAGTCATATTGGAATTTCAGGTGGGGAAACTGAGGCCCAGAGATATGATGCCTGGCTTCACACAAAGCTGGAGTATAGTCACAGCCTAGGACTCCTCGTTGGGCTCTGCTCCTGCACAATAGCACACAGCTGACTTGGGTGGGGATTTCCGGCTGCCCACTCCTGAGAAGAGAGGAGTCATCCTCCTATGCACAGCACGGGAGGGCTCTGGATGCCTGGCTCCCCACCTGGGCCACCTATGAACCCCAGGAAAGGCCCAGGGGAAGGAGCACAGCCCAAACCCCAGGCAGGTGGCACTCAGGCCTCTCGAAAGAGGCCTTGACTTTTTTCCCAGACTAGGCCATATTTTCTAGATCCAGAGAACTGGAAATGCCCCATCCATGAGTCTGATTTTGACTCCCTTGAGATGGAGGAGGTGAGGGAAGTGACGGGCCCGAGTCACCAATCTTAGAAGCAAAAAAAGCCTCCTCTTGGATCTCACAGTTGTTCATCGACACACGACACACGTTTGCTGAGCATGCGGAATCCAGCTGTGCGACCAGGAGGGCAGCCTGCTGTGACTGTGACGCTCCTTCTGTCCTGTCCATCCCCAGTGCCACGCTCCCCCTGGGCTCAGGCCAGACCTGCATCACCCTCCTTCCCATGCCATGCCACATCACGCAGCCCTGGAAAATGCGTCTCCTCCTCCCTGACTTCTTTTTTGGGTTCTGTCACTTCTTGCTGCCGCCATCTTTTGATCTTGTCATCTACACCACAGATTCGGATCCTAAGTGTTTGCGGAGCCCATGTCCGCTCTCCAGGAAGGGCTCCTGCCAAACCAACTCCAGAGGCTGCTGGAATTTCCAGAGGTGGCCACAGTCATGCAGGCAGCACAGCCACAACAATCCAGCCTGGGGACCCCGGGCCAGCCTGTCCCTCCTCCCCTGTCCTGGTGAGCAATAGTAAGCCCAGCTCTGTCCCCCACCCCACCCCCCAGGCTTCCTTTTCTTTTTTTGTCTTTTTCTTTGCCTTCTCCTCTGCTCCTGAGCTGGTGCTGTGGCCTCCTCATCACCCCGGGCCTCCCCCTGGCTGAAACTGCATGGCTTCAGCTGGATCCCCGGGCTCTCTGTGGCCAAAGTCCCACCTTGACCTTGGCTTCCTCCTCTCTGCTGGGCTGCAAACACGGTCAGCACAGGAGGGACACCACCCTCCAGCCAGCCGGCCTGTGTGTGGGGTTTTCTTCCCACCTGCTGTCCCTTCCCAGCAGGTCTGCCCCACCCCGTCTGCAGCCCAAGTGTGGCCTCCCCGGAGAGGACCAGCCATCCCTACCCCGACGCTCCATGACAGCCTGCCCTGCTCCCTTGTTTCCGTGTGTCCCGTCCCCGGTGACCTTGAGCCCCTGGTGGGCCTCCTTCAGTGTCTGGAAGCACAGGCTGCACTTGTGGGAAGAACAAGGTGTATCCCGCAGGGACTGGACAAGAGCAGCCCAGAGAGGAAGGAGCAAGCAAAACACCCACCACCACCTCTGGCTCTGAGGCAGTCACAGGCAGCTACAGAGAACCCAGACTGTCAGGGCTCCCACAGGCAGGAGAATCAGGCTTTACACTCTCCCAGGCTCCAGAGCTCCCAGTACAGCGGCACCAGGCAGAGCCAGTGCACCCACCACCCCATGCACCTCCCCAGCAGTTCAGGGTTTGAGCCAGATGGACTGAAGGATAGGATTCTCCTGCCCACCCACCCCCCTTTGGAATTCCAGGGGCTCTTGCTGGGAGGAGCTGGGAGCTTCCTTCTCACTGAGGAGCCTGTTATGCTCACCAGGACAGGTGGTCAACTTAACGCCTGCTGGATTACATCAGCATGGCATTGACCAAAGATGCTCCACCTGAGGAAAGTTGCCAGGATAAATAGGTGGAGAAGAAGGGAGATGTTGAGGGTTGAGGCGTTAAGGAGGCATTGTTGGAGTTGCTGTCTAAGCTGTTGGTTCTCCTGGAGAAGCCTTGGTCCTCACATGGAGCATTGCTTCCTGGCTCCGGAGGGGAAGACATGTGCTGCTTGGTCTCCAGGATGAACTCGTCACGCTGCTTCATGGCATGTACCTGACTGTGCATGTCATCGGAGGAGCTCGGGGCCTCTGTGTCGCTAAGGACAGCTGTGGTGCCTTTCAGGGTAGCCCTGGTCTTTGTTGTGAGTGTGACTTCTCGGCTCCAGCACAGAACCCTCATCCCACTAGCACAGCTCCTTCATCCTGCTGGCACAGACTTTCTTGCTTCCACCGCTGACCCTTGGGTCTTCCCCGCACGGATCCGTAAAAGAGACTGGCGTGAGTCCTTCTTGTGGGCTCTGGACCGCCAGCTGGACTCGTGGGAGGCATTGTCCTGAGCTCTGGGTTTTTATCTGGACTCATGTAGGACATTGCCATGGGGTTTAGGCTCTTGACTAAATAATCTATGTCTTTGGTGTTGCGGATAGATTTCCTGCATTTTCCTGTGTTAACTCCTGGTGGCCATTATAAAAATAACATTATAAACTCCATGTCTTGATCCTAATTGTTCTCTGTGTACAACCCCTGACTACAACAGAGCCTGAGAAACATCCATAGTGGGGGCAGGAGCAAAGTCCCAAGAAGGAGGAAGCACATGCCTGCCCACAAACAGTAAAGACTGCAGCGTCCAGTCAGAGCTGGGGGAGGGGAGGCAGTGGCACCTGCAGGAGGAGGGACGGACCCAGGGAGGCCCGGTGCTATGAGCAACCTCCCCTGCCTCCTGACTTGAGGCCAACTAAGGTTAAGGGAGACACGCTGGTGTTCCCTGATCTGGGAAAGGTCCAAACCCAGCCACACACCAGTGCTTAAGGAAAGCAAGCAGGGGAAGGGGATGGAACCCTCCTGGCACAAAGTCAGGGTGCCACTTCCCTGCTGCACCCCTCCTCCTCCTCCTTCTCCTTCCCCAGGCCCAGGGTGTCTGATCAGCAGTCCCTGCATCTTGGGTTGCAAGAACTGGAAAGGGTTTGGAAAACAGCTGGCCCCATGGCCCTCTTTATAGGAGAGGAAACTGAGGCTTGGGGAAGGAAAGGGACAGAGCCCAGCTCATCCAACGCTGTATGTACTGATCAGGCTCTCACATCCTTGGTCAACCCATGCAAAGAGCTGCTGCTGGCCAGAGCCTCTCCAACTTCTACTTTCCCCTCCCCCTCTCCAGGAAAGGAAGTGGGGTACTGTGTGGCCAAAGTGAGATCCTGAGATTCAAGGCATTAAGGGAGGGAAGGCTAGGGACAGCCTGGAACCACTCTGGTGTACGTCCCCCACTGGCCGTTTACACACAGTACCCGCTAAGCTATGTCCAGGCTGTCCTGTGGGGACTCACAATAGCTGGAGACTGTGCCAGGCCACTCTCTGTACAAGCCACGGGGCCCCTCAGCTCCTGCCCCAGACGCTCCCTGCAGCCAACTATGGCATCTGCAGCTCACAATCCCTCGCTCACAATTACAGGGGCACAGGGAGCAGGCTCTGGTGCTTTCCCTGCCGGTGGCCCAGCGCCACCCTCCCATAGCCCTGGCACCACCCACTCCCATACTGCCTGATGCCACTGAGCCAGGGAGCACAGAGACAGGCCTCTGGTGCCCTCTGCTGCCCAGCATTCCTGGCCACAGCCTGAAGATGGCACTGGGGTTATGCTACCATCCCTGGGTTGGCCCAGCTTGTCACAGGGCAGTCTAACACAGGAAAGTGTGACATGTCAGCCCAGGTGAACAGCACATTAATCAGGACACACTAAAAGTGTCATAGTAACAGGTAACTCCGAAGTGAAATGGCTCGGAACAGCTAAGGTCTGATGGGTTGGGTCCTTGGCTGTTGGGGGCTGTCAGAGAGCTGCTCCCTGCCTCCCCTTTCTGGGGTCCAGGTTGAGGAAGTAGCTGCCCTCATGCATTGAACATTGCTGGCTCTTGTGACAGAGAGCAAGAGAGTGATGGGTAAACTCTCCTATAACTTCCCTTGCTGCTGAGACACAGTACCCAACACCCACAACTTGAAGGAAGAGAGGTTTATTTGGGCTCACAGTTTGTAGAGGTTTCAGTCCACAGTCCACTGGCTCCAAGGCAGACAGCACAGCAGAGGCGCATGGCAGAAGACAGCTGCTCACAGCATGGTGGACAGGAAGCAGAGAGGAAGGGCGGAGCTGGGGTAGGAGATAAACCCTGCCAGGCCCTGCCCAGGGACCACCTCTTTCTACCAGGCCCCACCTCCTAACAGGAAGTCAGCAGTCACCCCCATAACCAATCATCTTCTCAAAGCCCCACCTATGAGTGCATGAGGATTTGGGGGTCATTTAGATACAAACTCTAACACCTCGACTCAGCTTGCTGGCCAATGACTACACTGGCTCCTACCCAAACCAGAGGGACCAGGGGCACAGGAATCAGGGAAATGACCAAGCATGTCATAACACCAAGCATCCCACTGGTTCCTCTTCCTGTGAGCAAAACACACTCATCCCTCCCCAAGCAAAGCACACTCACCACCTCCAAGCCCAGGCACAATGTCGCAATCAGGGCCAGGACCTCAGGGTGGTATGGTTGGGTCTCCTCATCAGCACTGAGGGACAATTTATCCTTGCTCAGTTCAGTGTGCAGACGTGGTCCACACTCCTTACACTCCAGGACATCAACACAGGTGTGGATTGGTGTGGATTCCGGAAGCTCATCTGTTTGGCCAGTGAATCACTGAAGAGCAGACACACAGGTCATGGGCCATTGAGGATGTCCAGCTTCTCAATGGGCCCCGCCTGCTGTCTGCTCATCCTGGGCAGCGTGCAGGGGAAGAGCAGGGAAGGTGAGGGTGAATCCTTCCCCTGGGAGGAAGAGTTGGGGTCACCCTTGCCTGCACTCCATCTCAGTAAGAAAGGAGGGTTGGGCTCCTTGCTCTCTGACTGCTAGCCCATTGAACATCCCTTGGTCCAGCTTCCTCCTCGAGAAAGGCAGGACAGCAGTCCCTGTGCCCAGCCTCACCTCCAAGGGCTGCACGGGGCCCATCCTTCGTTCCAGTTCCATTGCCCGAGCTGGATCACAGCCTGTGCTTGCCGCTCGCCTCTCCTGAGAAATCTTGAGGACAAAACCCAAAAGAAGGAATCTCCAACCTCGACACTAAGGCAATGAGAGAGGCCAGAAAGGGAAATATTTTGGTAGGAAGGAGGGGAGCTAGGGCACCCTAGATCTACATGGAATTCTAAAAACAGTCGCTGACCCTTTCGCCAAGGAGAGAACAATAAGCAGGGAAATCCCTGCTGACCGGGAGGACAACGTCACCCCCCCATCTCCTGCCGCCCTGCCCCCAGCTGAACTCGGCACCCTCTGGGCTTTGGACAGCAGCTTGAACTCCCCAGACTCTGACCTCCCCAAGGCACAGGGAGGTTGGAGAAGGCAGAATTCCCCGACTCCAGGTCCTTCCGTTGTGTTCTCTCCTTCAGGACAAATCGAAAAGTAACGGCAGTGAGCGCTGGCATCCGGCTTCACCCACCAGAGAGCGTGGCCCGTTTATTATTTCATGCAGAGCCACCAGCAGCGCCCGAGGGCCCTCACTCTTAACACTTCTCTTTCACAGAGGCAGAAACTAAGACTTGAAGAGATTAAGCAATGCATATGAGGTCACATAGCTAGTCAAAAAGAAAGGCTGAAGGGGAAAATCCAGGCATCCGGCCCTGTGTCTTTCCTATCCGAGAGGCATCTCTCCCCACCCATCCGGCTGCCGTGAACCCCTCCCTGAACCAATTCCCTGGGAGCTTGGGGACAGAGGGTCCCAGGTGGTCACCTCACATGGGCTTGGCCCAGACCAGCAAGCTGCAAGAAGAGAAGGAAGCCATGGGGGGGACCACGAGCACAGGCGTCCCTTCGCCGGCTTTAGTACCTACGGAGCAGCCAGGCTGTCTGACTCTCGAGGCTAGGCCCTGTTCCCTTGCTACACTGACCAGCACCTCCAGGCCACCGCCCGAAGTGTCCACTCCCAGCACTGTTTCCCCAGGTTGCCCTGGTGCCACCCAGGAGCCAAGGATAACTGCCTCCTTCTCTGTGCCTCGGTTTCTCTCTCTGTACCATGGCAGTCATCTCCACTCCTCTTCCACCTCTCTGCAGCAGGCATGCTGGGGGGCCACGGGGGAACCCTGGCCCATGGTTCTCCCAGAACTTCTGTCCCTCTGCAGATGTGAGTTTGAGTAAGAGTTTGAGAGCAAGTGTGGCCTCCATACTCCTGAGCAAAGGACTCCAGGGAAGAAGCAGGGTCCTGGGCACATTCTAGGGAGCTGGGCTTTCGTGGGGAGTTCAGAGCCTGCTCCTGTATCCCTGCAGTTGTGCTGAGCTAGTGATTGTGAGATGCAGGTAGCTTTCTAGGTAAATAGCAGCCGCTTTGATCTCAGCACTTGTGCTGCAAACTCCTCTGCTGCTCCAAAGACAGGCTTGCTGGGACCATGCCTGGAGGAGTCATGCCTGGTGCAGACCCTGCATGACTACAGACCATGCTGCAAGAGCAGGATGCCAGTAGCTACAGAGCCCTGTGTGGTCTCAGGTGGTACATCTGCCAGGCCATTCATGAGAGGCATCTGATTGCATTCATTTGGTTCTTTCTCAGAGGAGACAGGTACAATTTTTTAAAAAATATCCTGAAATCCAGTTGTGACGGGCATGGAAGGTAAAATGTATCTGATCCGATGCTGCAGCTGATCCCTGCAGCTGACTATCCTGTCACTGCGATCAGGGGCCTTGTCCCTTTGACGGCAAGCTCTCTAGACTTGGCTTCTCCCTCCGCAGAGTGAAAGAATTACACTTCGTGGAGCACAGGGTGCCTTCCAGAGCTAATAATAAATGACAGATTGATAGATAATGGGAAACGGGAAGGCAGACCTTTTGCAAACATGAAGGGGACCAAGACATGGAGAGCAGGGGAAGAGGAGGAAGGGTGTAAAGGAGCCGAGCTGTGTTATACACACGTGCTGGCCCCCTGCAATGAACAGAATCATTATGTGCTACAAACAAGCGCACATAAAAATAAATTTTAAAAACAAATGAAAAAAACAGATCCTCCAGGACCTAGGGAGAAAGACACCTCCAGCTTAGGGACGTGGATGGCAGGCCTGGCTGAGTCTCTTGCACCTGTCCTTCACCCTGACCTTCCTTTGAAAGTCCCTAGGTTGTAGCCCAACGTCAACTCTTCTTGCAAGGAAAGTGGCTTCTCTGGCCCTTGCCATGATCATAGCCTAGTGGGTTGGTATCTCTGAGCATCCAAAGGGAAGAGGGCAGGCTCTGTCTGGACTACTCAGAGTTCTCCAGGGCAGCAGGACTTTGACAATGAGTTAGACAGCGAGATACTGGTGGGTATGGCTCTGCACACAGAGGCACAGGTGTGTGCCTGTATAGGTAATAGACACAGAGAGAAGGGACTGAAATGAACTGGATCCCAGACTCTGAAGCACCTTAAAGGTCTGCCCGCAGTCTGGCAGGCTAAACCAGCTGCAGACTTCAATTTTGAGTTCAAATCCGACAGAACACCAGCTCAAAGCTCAGCCAGGATTTCTGTGCTTCAACCTTGAGAATTCCCTCTTCTGTGGGAAATGTCCTTTGCTCTTATGGCTTCAACTTGTAAATGACCCATCGTGCCGCTTCTCACCTATCCTGTTGTGTCCACCCAGCACGTGGGGTACAAGGGCCTGGCTCAGGTGTGATCAGCACAGATCCGGTCAAGACTAGCAAGCGCTGCACTGGTTACGGCCTATTTTTCTCTTCCTTTATGTTTATTACCTCCCTTTTTGCATTAAGCCAAAATCTCAGGACTCTGGGAGCCAGGCTCACTGGTATTGTCCTGTGGTCATAGCTAGCAGCATCCTGGGCTCAGCTCATTTCCTGCAGAAGGACCCTGGTGATGAAGCCCCTCCCTCGAGAGTCTCACGCCTGCGCAGTGAGGCTGTGGGAGTCTGCAACACATACCCGCCAGGAAAGGAAGCACCCCGTCATTTTGGTAATGATGATTTTATTGCTTTTTTTTACACACAATTAAAACTCACTAATTCTGATCTATCAGAAAGGGCAGTCAGTGCCTGGAAAGTCCACATTAAAAAATAATTTAAAAATAATGTCGTTTTATTACTTTAAAATATATTA